CTGTATAGGATTTTTGCATTCTCTGATACTTTGACTGGTTAAGTAACAACGTTGATGCTAGCTTATTAATTTCATTTGTTGACTATGCTTACTCTTTGTATAGGATTTTTGCAATTAGTGTAAGATCAGATTTTGTTTTGATTTATTTATAGCAATCTCTTGTACTAATTGGCTGGTTAAGCTGCTTTGATTTATCCAAAGGATACACTTCTGATTTTTTCTCATATATGCTCGCAGTACTTTTTTTCATATTTGCGTATTTCATGTTATTGCCTTAAATTTGCGTTGGAGCCTTTTCTTGTTTTACCTGTTCTTAACTCTGGCTATAATCAAATTTAGAATTTAGTGTATGGTCTGTCTCTGCTTCAGCCTATTCAAGTACATATATAGCTACCACAATTAATCTTTTTAACTGAATACATCTTCTAGAAAAGCTTCTGTCGTAACCTCCATACAAGGGTCAAAGTATCATTACACCCAATACACACAAACATGCATATCAGGTGTTTTGAGTGAATAAAAAATTTTCATATTTTACTTTAATATTTTCACAGGACGGTTTAAATACTTAATCTACATATTCATATAGGACACATCTGCCCAAGTAAAATACTTAATCTACAAAACTTTCTCTATGTACAGGTGGAAGATTCGATGGCAAAGATTGATGCCAGTGCCAAGGAGGCAGCATATCATGCCTGGCTTGGCTATTACAATTCAATAAGAGAGATAGGAAGAGATAAAACCATGCTGGTAGAACTTGCTAATGGGTTCTGCAATTCAATTGGTTTGCAAAAGCCTCCTGCACTCTTCCGGAAAACAGCATCCAAGATGGGTTTAAGGGACATCCCTGGCATCCGTATCAGAAAATAGAACAATATTTAGTGGTAACGGTGGTGATCCAAACACACGGACCAGCCAAGCTTTTAGGCAGCCGAATCCCAGTTTTGGTTCAATGTTTTACGTCAGGCTCCTCAAGTACTAGGCCACATTGGGTTTGTACGTGGTCCTGCCCAACCTAGTCCATTTACAAAAGTTGCAATCTCTGTAAATTGAAGTGAAAATAGGCATATTCTTTCTTTCATTCTCGGATTTTCTAAGTTATTTCCTTCTTTATAATATTCCGAGAAGAATACTTCAAAAAAAGGATGCTTTATTTTCATGGTAAATGAACAATTATTATGAAAAACAACTAAATATTATATGTACCTGCAAAAGTTAAGACAGCAAACGGGATCTGTGGTTTAAATATTTTTGATAAGAAAAATCCACTATCCACTTGTCTTCACCAGTATTGTAAATGTTGATGTGGGAACTTTTACACGCAGAGCCACCGTGCTAGTCACCCGATCAAATTAGAGGACTAATGGCTACCACAGTACTGAGAAGACTCCATACAGAAAGGCACCGGTTTTGAACCAATTGATAAATGGCTCACAGTCAAATAGATAATGATCGAATGATGGGATGGCACATTTCCCATCCATTTTAAGATGGCCTTGGATGCTCATGTTCTGTGTCCATGTAAGAAAATCTCACCACACCAGTTTCACAAGGGTTAAATATGGTGGGTCGATGATGTGATACCATTCACTAGATCCTGGTTATCATTTGAGAGATCTATCACGTCGTTCTTGATTTGTTGAAAGTGAATGTTTTCTTAATTGATTCTTAAAATGACCGGCTTTGGATGAAATTTGGTAGACAGATTTTGAAGGTCTATATAATGCCAAGAAACACTTGCCCTGGATAATTAGAGTTCTAGGTTTCCATCATCCCATGAACCTTTTTGCTTCGATGTGAACATTAGGTTATCAGTCTTTAATTGATCAATGAGATTTTGGTTCTCATTGATCAAGATGTTCATGTTCTTTTTATCTCCTAAATGGATAAGTGACTTTCTCACTTGGATGAAAATTTGTCAGCACTGAACACCGAGATCGAGGCAAAATTGCCCTTTTTAATAATAGATTTTTATGCCTATAACAGCCATTGTCTAATTTGCTTGTAGTCTTTTAGATTTTGGTCATAACATCATCTAAGCTATCCCAATGGTGTCATCTACTAATTGTTGGTGGCAAAGTAGGTATGTCTCTTTGCCTGGTTATAGTGGATACTTTGTATTAAATCCCGTAGTCACCAAGGTTGGGAGACCATGAATTAAAAGATAAAAGTAAGGTCATTTGCTAAAACACCCCTTGTAGTTTCATGGATTTATTAATGTTTATCTTATAGTTTATATTTTACTAAAAACACCTAATATAGTCTGCAACCGATTTATGACCTTTCGTTAAATTTATGGGAGTGAAAAATGACAGTTTTGACCCTAATGTCCATTCAAATAATTTTAATCAAAATAAATTAAAATTAAAAACATCATTATTGCCTTTGGTAAAAACACGAGCAACCACCTTATGTAGTCAATTTTCTGTTTGAAGAAGTAGTATATGTTGTTGCAAACCAAAAGTCTGAATGCCATTGATTTCTCTTCTTTTTCATTCTATTAAAATCAAATATTGTTTGGTAGATCTGGAATAGAAACACCATTTCTTTCTAAAAACTTGATATTAAATGTGAAGAGTGCATTTGGAATGAAAATCATGGGCCCATACCCTTAATCATATTCCCACTTTGTTTAGATGGTCACATGACCATTTCCAAAGAACAATACAGAAGGTTCTCAATAGAAGGTTGAATAAGTAAATAAGGGATGTTTTATTAAGCACAAACTCTAGAGTAAGTTTTAGTAAATCCTTTAAAACTATAAGGGGTATTTCATTAAATGACCCCAAAATTATATGGGTCAGACCCTTAATTTATGATAAGTTTTTAATTTTATAATTTTGATAAAATTTAATTATCTTATTAATAGCACAAAAAATATGAAAATAAGTGGCTGGAGTTAAACTGTTTTGACGATTTCAAAACTTTGGTGAAAATAAACCTAGCTGATGATATTTTCACTATTTAATTTTGGTGGGTGTGTAAGAAACCACAACTTCACAATTTTACATGCCATGGTAAAAGAAAATTCAGGGCAAAATTACGAGCTGATGGTCGAATCAGTTTTTTTTTTTTTTTTTGAAAATTATGACATTCACTCTCCCACTTGAGGAAATGTTAGATCATCGGTCCAACTGTTTAAGTCATTTGAAAGTCGAAACTGCATCCACCAACTTACCAACCGGCTAATTGGAATCTTCAGAGAAATCATTTTTTGGTTGAAGGAATGTTTTTTTTTTCTTTTTGTATTTTTAAGAGAAGAACTGCAAAGGATGGATGCATGTGATAGAGGCCAATGATATAGTCTTTATTGTATAAATTGTGTTTGCATATTTATTTGTTTTTATATTTAGGGTAAAATACAAAAACCTCCCCTATAATTTCATTTTAGCAAAAACCTCCCCTCTATTTTTGAAAAATTCAACAAATACCTCCCTTTCGTTAATGACCAAGATGGAAAACGTTATTGAGATGATATTTTTTTCAAAATACCTATTTTACCCTTTTATGAATTAATATGCATTTGTTTTTACTAAAATAGCCTTGTCTGTCTCAACAATTTCATAATCCCTCGAACACTGTTCATGAGAACGTAGAACGGCAGAATGGCGATGCACTCCCCCCTCCAGACATCCCACTACACATTAAAAATATCTATACATGAATGTTTATGATAAGAAATTAAGAATGAGACAACTCAAAATGTGGTTTTCTTTTTCATTTTTTTTAATTTAATACAGTATATAATATTTGATGGGTGATGCTCTCACTTAGAAATACCAGTAATTAAGCACATGCGTTGTACGTATGAATTTTTTATATTAATTATTTGAGTTTTAGATATATCATATTAAGATATAAATTAAAAATTAATAAAAGTAACATTATGACTAAAAATAAACTTAAATACTTGTACTAAATGAGCACATGTGGAAATTTTAAATTACAATTATTATTATTATTATTACTACTACTACTATTACTATTACTATTAAATTTTGTGTTCTATTTTTGTCTTAAATAAAAATAATTTTTATTTTAACAACTATTTTTATTTAATATGATGATTATATAACATTAGAAATGCTCCAAAATGTCTTTGACAAAACTCTGTACTTTTTTTATTTTTTGTGTTCGATCTTTTTTAAATATTTATTATTCAATTATGACATACAAAAATTATAAATTACAATTATTATTATTATTAAATTTCGTGTTCCATTTTTGTCTTAAATAAAAATGATTTTTATTTAATATGATGATTATATAACATTAGAAATGCTCTTAAATGTCTTTGACAAAATTTTGTACTTTTTTATTTTTTGTGTTCGATCTTTTTTAAATATTTATTATTCAATTATGACATCATGATTTTTTTTGAAAAGTTTGATCGTTGACCCACCATTTAGATAAGGAAATAGTTTTGCTTTTAGATCAGCTTTAAATCATATATTTTATCGACATTATATAAATAATTTTTACATATCACATTTAAATTTTGTTTGACATAATTAATATATGATTTTTTATATATTCTTTTGATTACTTGTACTTTTTATTATTTTTTAACTATCATATCATTGATTAATCCATTTGACCTAAACCACTAAACCACGACCCATAAAAAAGTTTGATTTCTAGGTTGACATTAAATTTTGTATTACATTTCTATTATTGATAAAATTATATCTTATGCATAACATTTATTTTTGTTCAATATAATGAATGTATAATATTATAGATGTACGCAATATTTTATTTTTTATAAATATATAACATAACATTTATTTTTGTGATTCTTTGTATTTTCTATTTTTAAAAAATTATTATTTGACTATGACATCATTTCACTTTTAGGTTGATTTTAATTTTGGCATTCCATTTTTATCATTTATAAAAATACTTATTACAATTCATACTTATTTTTGTTTAGTATAATGAATATACAATATTAGTGACGTGCTCAATTCTTTTTTTATTATATATTTTATATAAGTTATTTTTTATTATTTAATTATGACATTATTTGTTAATGCATTTGACCCCAAATGGTTGAATTGTTTACCCACCACCGAGAGGGAAGAAAATGATTTTGTTTTCAAATTATTTATTTTTATATTATTAAAATTAATGTTGTAGATTTAATTAGTAGAATTTAATAATGACAAAAATATATCTTAAATATATGATTTAATAAGAGAATATACCTAGATATGAGATTTAATGAGAGATAATAGGAAAATAATTTTACTTCCAATTGGTTTTAAATTGTACATTCCATTTCTATCATTAATAAAAAAAAATTCTTATTTATCATAAGTGTTTTCAACATGTCGTTGACCTAGGCGATTGAACTGTTCAAACCGTCACTCGGCCTTGATCCTGGGTTTGGTTTTGTTGAAACTCCCCTTTCAATTAAAAACCATCTAACCCGGGCGGCTCAATCATTGCCCCATTCAACTCAGTAACCAAGTTGTAGGTTATGCATTTAATTATGTGCAAACTTTTGGAACCATAACTTTTGCACTCTGATGTCTAATTGGGGTTATATTTTTTTTATTTTTTGAGTAACTTTTCAAGATCTATACATCCCATGGGCATTAAGCACCTTGCCTTGCTATTTTTGAGAAGAAACCCCTTTTGGCCCCAAATTGCAATTTTTAATATTTTTATAAATAAAAAATTAAAATATGATTTAAAAAACATAAATAAATGTAACATAATACATATATTATATGCAAAACCTAATTATCTTATTTATTAATAAAATATGTATTTTTACACACATATATAGTGTTGACACGCAAAATGTTTTGATACGTTTGACCTTGATAGTTGAACTAGTGACCTATATAACTCGAAGGCAAAAGTGGGCCGGCCTCCGGGTTGGTTTTTAAAACATTGTTTATCTACTTATTATTTCTTAGTATGTCAAATATATGATGTTAAAAATGTTCTCAATTTTTTTAATTTCTATATTTTTTTCATTTTATATATTTTTTCATTTTATTATTTAATTGTGTCAACAAGGATTGCCCCATTTGACTCAAATCATTTAATTTTTACCACCACTTAGATGAAAACACTATTTTTTTCTAGGTAGATATTAAAAGTATAAGTTTTTATGTTATTAAAATTATTAATTTATTATGTACGGATTTAATTATAAAATTTAATGATGAAAAAAAAAAGTCTTAAATATATAATTTCAATGAAGGTGAATGCAAATTAATACCATAAATTTTGGATTTAATGAGAATTGAATGCATTGAATATCTTGAAATCACCTATTTACAACTAATTTAATATCAATAACCAACTACCCTATATGTTCTCATTATTTTTTATTAATAAATTCAAATATAGAGGGGTAAATTTGGTCCTCAAAAAATTTCAAAAATATTCTTGAGGTTATTCATACTTTTTAAAGTAGTATAGATATAAATATACTATATTCTAAAATGCAGTTATCCACATCAGATTTCCCTATTATTTCTCAACCCTTTTAAATTTTTTTTTGGTTTTTTAAAATTTTAAAACTATAAAATTAAGTATAAGATTATTTACATTCACCCACAACAATTCAGTTAAAAATTGAATGTGATATATGTATCTTTTTGACAACAACCGTTCTATTCCATTTGTGCTGTTTTTCATATTCGTAACAATTTGGCTAATTATTTAAATGTAATGGCAGATAAACGCTATGGTTTTTCTTTCCTGCTTAAGCTAAAACTCTAGTATGACTATTTATTTAAATGCTACGGTGCCATTCAATAAAATAATTGTTAATTCGCTGGATTGAGGGTAGTGGTGTAAATTGGGCCATACCACCCGTGATCCGGCCCGATGGTCTATGAGTCGTGTCGCGGTGTGACACGATTGTTTGGATCGATGGGCTGTGCTGGGTTTGGGGTTTCATGTCAACGGGTCAGGCCAGCACGCCGCACTGTCATGCCGTGCCGCCCATGGCCCGCGGGTTGGCATGGCCCAGCCCGTGGCACATCCCACATATATGTAATATTTATATATTATATATAATATAATATATTATATAAATTATAATTATATAGTAATATATAGTATATAATATATTAATAAAATAAACAATTTTTTTTTCAATTTTACTATATTATTTTATTAATCATTGTATATATAAGCAATTGTATACATCAAAATTCATATAAAATTAAAATGTTAAGTTTTTCTTTTTAAATTTTTAAATAAATAACTTTGGCCCAATCCACAGCCTGGCTTGGCCCAAGTCTCGGACCATGGACCAGCCCAGCCTGGCACGGGCCCGCATAGGCTTGGGCCGTGTGCCATGCCAGGCCAACTCTAATTTATAATTGGCTGTAACTTATAAATAAGAGAACTATGATACCACTGGATTCTTTGCTCTTTGTTTGAAAAAAAAAATTCTTTGCACTTCAGACATGAAGGATACTTTTTTTCCTTGTCCATATGGTGAAGAATCAATGAAGAATAAAGAATGTCTTTCTAATAATCAAGGTATTTACATTAGGGGTGGGCCTTGGGCCGGGTTAAGCCCTAACCCAACCTTAAAAATGGTCAATTCGGTCATGTTAATGTTTGGATTAGGGATTTAGGGTTGAAAAATATAAGTCTAATTTAACTTTTGCTTGAGTTAAATTGAGGCCTTAGAAATGGACTAAACCCACAAATCAAACGTGTCTTCTACATATATAAATATGGAAAAAAAAACCTATGCTGCTAGAAGACATGATGTTAGAAGGGCTTTTGACCAATCAACTGCTCATATAAATATTATATAGGATTCATAATTTTTTATTTTATAAATATGTATGGATATGTCTATGCGATTATAAATTTAAGAATGTATGCATATATATAGCTGTACAAGAGCACCGTATTTTGTCATTATAAGTGTAATAATACTAACTCAATTTGTTTATTTTCGGTTTAAAAAATAAAAATATTTTGACGAAACACAATTGAAGAAACTAGGACAATCCCAATCCAATATGTAAAGTCATCGTTATGGTTAGAAGTTCAGCAACTCAGGTTGGGTTAGGATTGATCTCAACCCGAGCTAATCGGGCCCAACTTGCATCCCAAAGTTCGTATAATGGGCTTCGCCTGTAACATTATCTATTGATCTCAACATATAATATAGTTTTCACACAAAAAAGTTGGTCAATGGGATTTTGATTCCTATTGATCAATAATTCCATGTTCTTTTTTCAGATTTATGTGGGGACCAAGGAAAGTTTATTTTCTTGGGTATCACTATCTCCTAAGTGGGTAAATAATTTTCTCACCTCTTAGAAAATTGCCAATATTTGAATGGGACAAAAATGCCCCTCTTAATAATGTATTTTTATGGCTAAAATGGTCATTGCCTTATTTACATGGGAAATAAAAAAACATGGGTAAATACACTTATCCGGGTAAGTCTTTCTTAGGGAACACTTACCCGGGCCGGGTAAGTACATTTACCTAGGTAAATATCTTACGAAAAGTGAATGGGTTCTCTATTTTTTCAAAAAATAGTACCCACAACATTCAACTTTCAAATGAATTAGACATACATCCCATTCTTATGGGATGTATAGTCTATGATACTGAAAATATATAGTAATGGAAGAGCTTTAACCAATCAAAGTATTTGGGGGTGTTCTTTTTTTTTTTTTTGGATTTTGAGAAGGGAAAGTTGGTCAATGGGATTTTGGTTCTCAATGACCAAGAAACCCATACCTTAGGTGGATAAATAAATTTTCTACCTAGGGAAGTCACTAACACTTGAATGGGACAAAAATATCCCTTTTAATAATAAATTTTTATGGTTAAAATAATCATTGTCTTATTTACTTAACAAATAAAAGAACACGAATAAATGCATCTATCCAAATAGGCCTTTTTTAAAAAACACCTACCTAAGTAAATGCATTTACCTAGATAAATAACTTACCAAAAAACTAAGGGGCCTTTGTGTATTTTAATGAACACCGCTTGATTGTTCACTTGTTTATGATATTGGTTTATTGGTTATAAGTTTTTTCAGTATCACATTTTTTCGATGTAATAGTAGAATTTAGGAAAAAATACTAAATTTAAATACATGATTAATAAAATAGAATTTTGATAAAAAACCACTTGATTGGTTCTCACTTACATTAACCTTTCCAATTCAATTTCCTAATTCAAAAGAACCATTATAAGACTTTTTAGTTTACAAATTAAACTTGATTAATTATTTAAATTAAATAAGAAAACATTATTAAAACAATGAGAAAACAAAGATACGTAGTTGCCCCGTGGTTTGTACAGGGTCATTGTATTGTAAAGCTCAAGTTCATTGGTGACTGGTGAGAGGAAGGAGCCAGTTTCAATTCCATCGTTTTCCTGCTTCGAGGTTTCAACTACAGAGAGCAAGTCCAGAAAGAAGATATTGAAGGTGAGCATCGTCATATAATTTCAGAACTTTATTTACCCGTTTTCTTGTTTTCTGTCTTAATCTTACATGTAAATCTTGCGGATGGTTTGCTCTGTAAAGGTTCTGTTTCGGTATTCTTGTTAAAATGTTTTATGTCTCCTCGACAAGTGACGAGATTGGAGGGATTATCTCCGATAAAATTTTTCTGTCTTAATTTTAGATGTAAATCTTGCGGATGATTTGCTCTGTAAAGGTTCTGTTTCAGCATTCTTGTTAAAAAGTTTTATGTCTTCTCGACAAATGAGAGATTGGAGGAATAATCTCTGATAAAATTTTACAAAGCCCATCAATTAGAAAGATGAAAGGTAGAATTATTTAGGAAGAAACTGGGCATATTCCAGTGCTTGTGAAAATAATGAACTTCTCAATTCTTTCAATTTCAGTTATTTTTTTTGCATATTTATTTATTCCTTTTGGCGGAAGGGGCGCATAGATCGTTCACATGTGCTGATTGTGGTGCCCTTGAAATTTCAAGTTTTCAGTAGGAATTTGACAAAAATTTCAGATTTTGATACATAAGCGACCACTGATCAAGGTTCAAAGGGAGCAAAAAAGAAACGTTAAATAAAGCAGTACGCATGCGACATACAAAGTTTATCCTGTTGATTTTGTTACGAGTTACATTGACTTTGAAACGGGCTGATTGGAATGCCCCTAAAATCTTAGGTTTTTTCTTTTCTTTTTCTTTTTCAGTAAGATATTTGGACAAAAGACTAGGTTTCATGTAAGAATGCATGCGATATGTGGTAATAAACTTCTCTTCCATCTTAGTAATTAATTCACTGAAATTCTGTAGGTTATGTGCTGCACGTTGCCTGCATAAATAATCTTAAGTCTCTTCCAGTTGACAGCCATGGCTAGTTAGAAACTTAGAATTGGTTCCTTTTTGTATAGTGGATGCAGACTATTTTTCCCTCTGGTGTACCATGTTGTTCTATACGCTCGGTTTCCAATTTTGTTAACAATCGATAGGAATGATTTTTGAAGTGTTTGTCCTAATAATTACGGATTGGACATGCTGAGGGTTTATGTTCATATTATATAGTTCTCAGGTATTTTGTTGACATTATGCGCTTACTTTGTTGTTTATTTTAAAATAAAGAATGTTGAAATAAAAGAATATAGAAAGGAAAGAGAGGTTCACTCAGTAATTAATGATGCCAAATTACATGCTCTAAAATGCAAGACCTACTTGGAGAAAAGGAGGAATTGAACTGACCCTCCTCCAATAAAATGACCCTACTTTACCTATTAAAAATCATTTAGAATGGATGTTAAGAATGTAAATGATCCCTTACTTTTTTAACATTGCATAAATTTCCTAGAAAATGTGATTTTCTGCTTATTCAAGAGTGACCAAGAAATGGCTAAGCAGAACATGCCTTCTATCTCCAAAATCCACAGCTCTTCAACCAAGTCCAAGAGTGACTTAGAAAGCGGTCACATAACCCCAAACTATGGGCGAATCCAAAAAAATTTCTTCAATAATTGATCTATGGATGGAAAAGTGGTCATTTGTTCTCTCATGCTCCTTGCATAAAATTGCTATTTAGGTCCCAGCCATGTAACTGCGTTACCTGGTTACAGCAAGGACATGGCCAGAAAAAGTATCAGATACAAAATATACACTATCCAACACGATATGACACCTTGTACAGTTAACCAGGTATCTTAGGGTTCCAGATCCTACTGTTTATTAAAAAAGTAAAAGAAAAGAATACTACCCTTAGGCAAACTACCACTTCAGACATATTTAGCTAGGAGTGTTAATCATATTTTCAAGTCGGTGGCAAGTGAGTTGCTTACTGCCAATATGTTGATGGTGTTAATCATATTTTCAACTTGAGCATTTTAGTAGCATGCTAAAAGAATTCTCAGTGTTTCTAGATTCTACTTGTCTTGGCTATTGCAAGTTTGCTGATGGTGCTATGAGCAATTACAGCGATACAGCTCCAAACTACTCCCCATGGAGCAAATTTCACTGAGATTTAGCGAAATCTCCCTTTTTCACAATGGGGAATATGAAATCTCCTAGGAATATAGGAAGTCTAAATTTTGTATAATCTTGTAACTCTTGCTGATGTTTTGACAATATATGATGTATCAAAAAATAATTGTTGTCCATGTGTTCCATATTTTGGCACAATATTGGTGAAACATTGTCCTTTTCTATGGAACCAATTGGACATGATAGGGAATTTGGAAGTGCTCTAAAACTATATACTTCTTATTTCTTTTGGTAAGAAGAAAGCTAATTTTGTTGACTAAAGACCTTGAATTAACAATTTTATTGGGGATTTTTTTTAATATTTTTACTATACAAGTAATGCTATTTGACATCCATATACGATGAATCGTATGGAACTATATTGCTATTTTTAATAACAAAATAAAAACATAATCAATACAAGCGTATTTCATAAAATGATGAACTGGGGACGTGGTTGTACTTATGTTGGGCAGGGATTCTATGAGACTATGACTACTCATTCAAATAGGGATGATCTAGACCTGTCCCAAAACTCTATGTGTGATGGTATTAAGGAAACTTGTATTTGGCTTATCTGGTTGTGTGCATTTTTGAGGACTTTTGATTGTAAGAAACTTTTTGATAATAATGAACCAAATGTTATTCATCAAAAAAATAATGAACTGAATGTTTTTGTCAATGCATATTTAAGTATCTTAACTTTTTTCTTGCTACCAATAGTTGTTAGTTATAGTTTTTTTAGTCTTATTATACTTATTTTGGCATTCCTTAAAATTTCATTGGTAAATTCATGCACTCCTTAATGGAGGGGTGCATCTGGACTTTTATGTGATAAGCGAATACCACTTAGACTAAAGGAAAATTCTATAAAACAGTTGTAAGGTCAGCTACGTTGTATGGAGTAGAGTGTTGGGCAGTCAAGAAACAATATGTCCAGAAAATGAGTGGTAGAAATGTGAATTCCAAGATGGATGAGCAATGAGCAGAGAAACTAAAAAGGATAGGATCAGGAATGAAGTCATCTGTAGGAACCTTGGAGTAGTCCCAATAGGTGCTAAATGAGAGCAAGTAGACTAATATGGTTTGGTCATGTGCATAGAAGACCATCAACAACACCAGTTAGAAGAGGTGATTTGTTACAAGTTGAAGGGGCTAGAAGGGCTAGGGGTATACCAAAAAGGACATGGGTAGAAGTGGTGAGAAATGATTTAAGCACTAATAATTTAATAGTGGATATGACTTTAAATGGAACAGATTGGTGAAACAGGATTCATGTAGCCGACCCCATATAGTTGGGATAAGGAATGGACGATGATGATGATGATGATGATCACTCCTTAATCAGGTGTAGGAGGGGTCCTGTGTGGTCACCACCAGATTGTGGTTTTACAAAGCTAAATTTTGATGGAAGTGGTGAGGGAAATCCAGGTCCATCAGGTGCAGGATGGGTCTTCAGAGATGAGGATGGGAAGGTGCTTGCATTGTATTCAGGTCCCATTGGGGTTGGGGACTCTCTTAAAGCTGAGGTCTATGCTGTACTGGGGTCTAAGGAAGACCAAGGAACTGAATATACAAAAGTTAGTTGTTGAAGGGGATTCAAAGCTGGTCTTAATCTGGTTACAAGAAGGTAGTGGACTTTGGAAGTTTGCTAATGAGAGGAGGGAGATTAAATGGCTAACTAGAGGACTGGAAATCCAGTGTCAGTGGGTCAAGAGAACAGAAAATGCTTTGGCAAAGCAGGGGGTGGGAAGGGATCAAATGTTTTGGGCTGTTCTGTAATTTTTCTTTCTTTGTTGTCCTCTTGGAGAGAGTTAAGCCTGTTTATCTCTCTCTAGAGTGCTGTAACTAAAATTTTATATTAATCTAATGGATTCTTGTTATTGATAAAAAAAAATCGCTCCTTAATCTTCTTCAGTTCCCTTGGTTATAATCTCCTCAAAGCTTTCTTATTTTGACCAGGAAAAATCTTTAGTGAGTCAAATATTGAACATTTTACAATATCTGTTTTGTTATAATGCCTAAGATCATGTGGTCATGAGGAATACTTACTAGCTATATTAATCACATAAAAAATAAACATATTGGTTGATTTTCTCCAAAAAAATGTCTTAGTTTCATGTATTTGTAAGATATATGTATAAATGATGTAGATAAGTGGTAAGGCTTGGTGGGAAGAAGTCAAAACTAATGTTATTATTTCTAAGAACTTGGCTAGTACTAAAAGATTACAAGATAAAGAATATCTTATTAGTTTATAATCTTTTAAGAAGCTGTTTATTAAAATTTAAAGAGGTTTAGAGATTGTTCTCACTGTTACAGACTACTTCACAAGGTGGTTTGAAGCAATACAAATGACTAAGACAGTTAGGAATGATGTGCCATGCTTCAATTACACTCATATTGTTTATGGATTTGGTCTTCCTAGTCTATAGTCTTAGATTGCGGTACCTAAACTGTCATGTTAGCAACACAAGTTTAGGTTTAATCATCATTATAGCACCTATTTGGTTAAGCTGAGGTCACAAACAAGACCATGCTTTCTATCCTGCTTAAGCAATTTTTTGTTGTTCTGTGACAAACCTTCTCTAGTTAGTCCATATTTGGATTCCCCCATACATCTTTACATCTTTTAATTTCTCTGGAACTCATCCCAAAGTTTCACCTAGAACCCTAAATTTTATAGTTTTTGGGTTTTCTCTCATCCCTAGAATTTTTGTCATTTTGTGGAAGATGCACTCCAAACCTTACCATACTTGGTTGACACCTATGTAGAAAAAACTTACATACAAAATTTTATTGAAAAATTCCAATCCTGTACCTATTTTCTCCAATTCATAACTTTTAACAAATTTGGGGCAGATCTGCAAACCTTTCCTAACCTATTCAACCCTTATCTTTTTTTGCTTGTACATTTTTTACCTCTAGCTCGGTAGCTCCTTGTACAAGAGCATGGATATGCAAACCACCACAA